ATTTGGTTATGCCTTTTTGTGAGGTGACAAACATTTCAGGAAATGTTTGGTGGTTTATCATGAAGTATTTTCAACATTTTTGGAAAGGTATTTTACGTAAAGATATCCAAATAGGAAAATGGTAGGTACCTGTCCTGCAAAGAAAAAGCCACTGTGGAGTTTATTGGTGACAAGGCCAACCTCCTTGGCGGCTTTGTCTCAAAAGCTGGGTTAGCAAGACTAGGACCCCCAAGGCAGCAGGAAGAGGGCTGAGCGAGGAGTCCTGAGGCCTTGAAATGACTGCAGTCATCTTGCCCTGCCCTTCCCAGACACAGGCCACCAAAGTACTTCCCTCTCCCTCCACTTGTGGTAATGTAGAGACAACCTCTGATTGACATTTGTATTAACTTGTAACAAGATGCTTATAACTGGACCAAAGCAGTCCTATCACTGGAGAATTTCATTGTGTACCAAATCTCCTAAAAAACATTTATAGCTGGAGCAGCCAGATGTGATTTTTAACACCTGATTCTTCCATAGCCTGCTTGAGTGGCCTTTTTCTTTTTGACTCCTCAGCTCCAGCTACTGATGATACCTAGAGCTTTTGGCCTTCCTAACTAGGGGAGAAGGGCCTGTAAGCCATTCTTTACACATTTCTCAAGTATTCTGTGAATGTTTTCAGTGTTAGGAACACGAGGAGAGGATGTGGATCAACTTGTAGCCTGCATCCAAAGCAAACTGCCTGTGTTGACCTGTACACTGCAGCTGCGAGAAGAATTCAAGCAGGAAGTAGAAGGGACTGCAGGTCTCCTATATGTTGATGACCCCAACTGGCCTGGAATAGGGGTTGTTAGGTAAAGACTTGGTTTGTCTCTTTTTTTTGCGGGGGGCGGGTACAGGGATCAAACTCAGGACCTTCCACTGAGCTATCACCCTGGCCCAGGTTTGTCTATTGATGTTAAGACTTTGCCAAATAATGCACATAGTGGGTCACTTTGTGAACCAGCTTTGTAATCCAAGGTGAATATATGCAAACAAAATATGCTTGCCAAAAATTCAACAAGAGATTGTGGGCATGTACAAAGGCAAGTGATTTGGCCCACTATTACACTCAGTGAGCAGATGTCCCTGGGAGTGAGTGTGTGCTCTACATGCTTGCTCACCAGTGCCTGTGGACACAGATGGACATATGTAGTGGACAAATGGCTACCATCCAGCATATATTTCAAGTCAGTACGAAACAGAACCCAGTTCCCAGGGAGATAGGGCCCCGCTGGCGTCTAGAGATCAGTGTGTACAGCCCTGTGATGGCTGTCCTTGTTATTGAGGCACACTGTCTTTTGTGTGACATGTGTGAGCTCCAGACCTTGCCTTTCTTTCCTATGAAGCCAAAGACTTGCCCTTACTCATATTCTTGAATGTTTTCAACCTCAAGACATTATTTAGCCAGGCTTGGTGATACATGCCCATAATCCCAGCATTTGGGAGGCTGAGGCAGGAGAACTGCCATGAATTTGTCAGCCTGAGCTACATAGTGAATTCAAGGCCACCCTGAACTACATCGTGATATTGTCACAAAACAAAACAAAAAAAGACACTGTCCATGGCTTTTTTGCCCATTGGTTACCATACTGTGTCAATACCTGCTTATAACCCTAAGGAGACTCTCAAGTCTCTTCGATTATAGTACTGTTGTTCAATATTGTTTTTAGGTATCAACATGCTAATGATGATAAGAGCAGTTTGAAATCAGATCCAGAGGGAGAAAAAATCCATGCTGCGCTCTTGAAAAAATTAAATGAACTGGAATCTGACCTTACATTTAAGATGGGTAATTATTGCTTCTATAAGTTACCTGTGAACTGTGGAAGGGCATTTTCTAATTGGCTTAAATGGCTTCATCTATCTGGAGGAAGCTTTGGGTTAGGTGAAGGTGTGTTTCTTCCTCGAGTTCTTGTCTTCAGCCCATTAGATACACCGCCCGCCACATGAAGGGGGCCTTTTTTCATACATGGTTCTGCAGTTACAAAGGGAACTCAACACAAAGGAAGCCAAGCTTCTCTGCTGTTTCCTCCTGTAGGCCCTGAGTACAAGAGTATGAAGAGCTGCATTTATATTGGCATGGCAAGTGACGACATAGATGTTTCTGAACTAGTGGAGACCATTGCAGTCACAGCTCGGGAAATTGAAGAAAACTCAAGGGTCTGTAAGACTAATCAGTGTTTTGTACCTTTTTGGAGTTTTGTCTCAACTATGTGGGGTTATGAAAGAGGAAACACTTTGGGGAAATGTCTATTTATTTATTCTTTCCCCAAAAGTTCACAAATGTTCCCTGTGATTGAGGCATTATGTCAAACATGAGTGGCAGGTAGGCCTGACACAGTCTCTGCCCTTGAGGACCTGCCTGGCAGTAAGGAGAAATACACATATGGCTAGCTGCAGTGAGTGCTTGTGAAATCACAGTAGCTGCGCATTCAAGAAGGCTCCTCAGGTTGCAAGCTTGGTGCGAGAGCCTGAAAGACACTGGTCCTGAAGATGGGTGAGATGGGCATTTTGGCTAATAGGACTCTCACTAGAAATAGATATGCTGCTTGGCCAGTTGGCATGGAGGAGCAGAATACGAGAAAAGCCATTCCCTAAACCAGGTATGTCTTGAGACCAGACTGAAATGTATGTCATGTGTCTTGCTTTGGGTAGGGTTCAAAAGGGAAGAGTTTGAAGTAAGGTTAAGGAACCAGCTCCATTCTTGTTGTCTGGACCCTTAAGGTTTCCTCCAAACCTGATAATATTGTTGCTGCCTTTTCCCTCTTGAATGTTGAATGGGTGATGTGTTTTCTATTGCTATGACAGTCAGGATGTTATTTTTCTTCTGCTGCCTGTCAGGTAAGGCTGGTCACAAAGTGTATCAGGGTGTCCACAAACATTTTTCTATTTAATTTTCATTGTGGCCTACAAATGCAGAATTCCATTACTGATGTACTGCTGTGAAACATCCCCAGTGCTGTGTCAGTTTCTATAGGCCCCAGCAAGAAGCATAGATAAGCAGTGCCTTTCTTGATCTTACATAGCTTCTGGAAAACATGACAGAAGTCGTCCGGAAAGGAATTCAGGAAGCTCAGGTTCAGCTGCAGAAGGCAAATGAGGAACGACTTCTGGAAGAGGTGAGTCTCCAGAACTGACTCTTGGCCATGTTGGGCAGGGTGCCCAGCTTGGCAGTGTGATCTTGAGTGAGGGCTATGTTTTACAGGGAGTGTTACGGCAGATCCCTGTTGTAGGATCGGTGCTGAATTGGTTTTCTCCACTACAAGCTTCACAAAAGGGAAGAACATTTAACTTAACAGCAGGTAGGACTAACTAGTTTCTGCTCAGATCTCATTAACATGGGAGTTTGATCAAATGCCATTAGCTGGCAACATCCCTCATGCTGTGAATCTTTTATAATTCCTTGTGTCTGTCCCTGGGTCCTCTGGCATGAAATCTGGAGAATCCCTGATGCCCTGTTACCTTTTTCCACAGTCCTCTCCATCATTAAAATAGTGGGAAGGTAGGTGCCCATTCCTGTAGTAAGCTGACTCTTCATTGAATGCACAGGAACTGGTCCATTCAGCTGTTCAGAACCCCTGGGAGCTGGGCATTTGAGTTCAGGGTCACTGTTCCTTCTAGTCCTCATGAGTTTCTGCCCAGTCCAGGGCTGTTTACAAAAGGGGGTTTTCTAAGGTCAGAGCATGTAGTCCTTGAACATTTTATTGCAAACCAGGCAATCATACTATAATCAGTTGCTAGAACTTAAGAAAGATACATTAAAAGCCCAGATTCATTCCTTCCTTTTCTGCCAAGGAAATACTATTTATGAAACCCAAGGTCCCCTTCCCTAGGAAATAACAGCACTGTTACAATAGAAGATAACCCGAGTTTTAATCTGCCAATCCTCAGCCTTTAGCAAAGAGGCATCTGTTCCTTGTTGCTAAAGTACATTTCCCAGTTGGGCCTGGCTCCCAGGCATGTTTGTGCACACCACTGCCCGATGTCCTCAAATACCGAAGGGAAATGGGGAGAGAGGCATCTGACGCCCAGCAGGGCTGGGCCACTTGGTCCAGCTGTGTCTAGTTCTTGGCATGTTTCAGGAAGGACAGTCTGTGGGAAGCTGAATGCTGGAAGCAGATTAGGGCACAAGGCAGTGTAAGCGGCATCACCAGGGGCAACCTGTAGCAGGAATGTCTGCCCACTCTGTCCTCTCTTCCTGGCAGGCTCTCTGGAGTCCACAGAACACACATATGTCTACAAAGTACAAAGTACTGGAGTGACACCGCCTCCAACACCCTCAGGCATTCGCACCAAACAGAGGTTTCCAGGTACAGTTGTACCATGTTTGAGTTCATTAACGTGGAAGAAAACTGGCTATATTTCTTTTTTTAAACAGATGTTTGCATGCTTTTTGGAAGAAAACTGGTTGTAGTTTCTATTTTGAAAAACAGAAGTTTCCATGTTTAACAGTTTTCCCTTGAGGTTCATTTGCATACTTTTGTTTTACTGGTTCTTTAACCCCCATTCCTATTTTTCTTTAGGACCATGTATCACTGTCCCTTTGAATAACCATTCCGTAGCCTTGAGACTTCGTTGTAAAGAAATGTCTTGGTGGCAGTGTAGGGGGGAGGCTGGGGATCTGGAGTGCTGGCATTATTTAACCATGGTGTTTGTTCTCCTGAGCTTCTCTTTATTAAGATAACTTCAAAAGTTCCATGCCAGGGGAATATGATGGAATAACAGTAGCAGTTCTTAGTTCCTTCCTTATCTTCTATATTTCAGAACTGGGATTTCAGGATTTTTGCCGAGGCAGTTATAAAATAAAGTGATATCCAGGTGCACAGAGAGCCTCCATCACATTAGGCTTCTTCACTAAGCTGTCAGCTGTTTGTCCCATTTTTTTCCCAGGTCAGAAGCCTTTTAAAAGATCCCTGAGAGGTTCAGATGCTGTGAGTGAGACCAGCTCGGTCAGTCACACTGAGGATTTGGAAAAGGCAGAGGACATGTCCAGTGGACCAGAGCAAAGTACCCTAGAGATACACAGCCCTGAGCAACCTCCAGGGGCTCCTGCCCCTCAGGCCAGCCACACTGAAGCCCTCCAGAACAGGGCCCAGTGTCCTGAAGATGATCATCTGCAGGTGGAAGAGCCAGAGAGCCTAAGATAAAATTCAGTGTTGGGTTTGAGACTGTAATGTTGTTTCAGGGAAGAAGTTGCATTGCAAGTGTGAACTGTGCGATATGTTCATCTAATAGAAATGACTTATTTGTGCTGAACTGGTTATTTTTGCACATATGTATGCCTGAAAGCCAGTCTTTCCAGGAGGTAATTGAATATTTTATGTGTATGCAGAACAGCCAACTATTGTTTCTCGCCTGCCCAAATGTAGTAAAACCATTTCCCCTTGAGTTATCTTAAGTACTTTTATTCCTAAGGAACACTTAAAATTTCAGGTGCTTGCCACTTGAAACACTTTCTTCTTTCTACTCCTAAGCATACATCATTAGATTGTACTTAGGGATGTTTTATTAGGACTGTCCAGGTTCTGTACTGTTGTTCCACAGAGGCAGGATGACAGTGACCTGTGTCTGTTGTAATGGGTCTGTGGTGGTCATACTGCAGTACACATCTGTATTGGCAGGCTTCAAGGAATGGGTTTCAGTGGGACCCGAAGTGCATCACAGCCCGCTCCTGCCATCCTCTAACTGCTGTTTTTCCTGAAGTAAGGACTGTATCCATGTGCACAGCAGGGTTTCTGTCTAGGGCTGTCCTTTGCCACAAATCTTTTCTCCCTTTCTGTGCTTTTTGTAAACAGATTTGAGGACTTGTCAATAACTGTTGAGTCTCTTCCTTTCCATGTGTGTCTATTTTTAAATGTAAAAGCTTTTAAATCAGCACAAAGGTGCAGATTATGCTCGATTCTGTCCCAAGAGCCTGCTACTAATACGCTGTGCAGCATACCTGGGCTAGAATGCTAAAGTAAGTTCGCCCTTGACTGTCTCACTCCAGAGGTTTGTTGCGTCTCTTCCGCTCACATGTCACCCTGGGTCCTGCTCAGAAATAAGAGCTAGAAAAATCATACCTCACAGGATGAAATGACTAGAAGTTAGTCCCCGAAGTCCTACTGGTTTCTATTTTCTCAAAGTACTACATCATTTCCTTTGTCCTAAGGTTGGGCCCCTGTGCTTTTTTAGTCTCACAAGGTCAAAACGATGGGAGAGCTTATGATGATGGGGAATTCACACTGGATTTCTGGACTAGTGTGGGAAGCCTTAGTTGTACCACATTAAGCCTGTAATTACACTGATTTGATGTGAATGCTGACATTTGGCACTTGTCGAAATATAATTTTCCTTTATTTTTTTGGTACAGAGTAAATGGTCTTCCCTGTTTATTTGGTGCAATGAAGTATAGCAGATAACATGGGAGAGGGGTAAATTATCACCTTTAACAAGATTTTTAAATGTTTATATATATATATATATATATATTTGGAATTGTTAAATCAATTTTGCTGAAACAGAATTTCACCCTTGAGGTACTATTTCAATGTTGATTTCAATAAAGGTTCTTGAAATTGTTACCAGTGAACTCAGTTGTATCTTACTGGCATTATGAGGCATTGTAACTTTCTTTTCAATAGGAACTTCAGAAACGACCACTTTATAAAAAGAATTGATTTACCAGGGGTTTGGATAAATTCTCAGATCAAATTTAGCCCCACAGATTATCTTGGAGATAATTATATTTGAGAAAATTAAGATCAAACCCTATTATAGGTCAGTTTTGGATGTGAAGCTTTTAAAATATTTTTTGAGCAAAAAAAATTGAGATGTATAAATTCTCACTAAATTTTATTGCATTGTAAAAGCTTTCAAATGTTTTTATGTACTAAGGAGAATTCGGAATACTTATCCATCCATGTATCTGAAGTAACTGCTTACAGCCCAGTGAGACCAATTAGTAGGTTCTCCTCTGCTCATTATTACTGAGCAAAAAGAAAATGTTGGACACAGACTTTTTTTTTGGTACTGGGAAATGAACTCAAGACCTTGTGCTTCCAGGCAGGCACTTATGCCACTGTAACTTTTGTAAAACAAAAGTAAATCTAAACAAATGCCTTTGCCAAAATAAGATTTTATTTTAAAGTCATTTGAAAGACAAGAGTAAGGAAAGAGACCTCAGACAAAGGCGCCTCGTTTGTCTCAAATGCGACAATGGATGTAGATTCCAAATTCATTTTCTTTCCAAACCCCATCAATGGTCTTTTCATGCCAAAAAGTTGCTTGCTTTGGTAACTCCTATTTTTAGTTTCCTGAACAGATCTTTTCCCATAAGCCATCTTCATTTTTTTTGTAGAGGAGAGCTTTATTTCCAGGAAACAGTGTGTTCATTGGAGATGGATATTTTTTTAAGAACATCAAGGTAGATCTTATATGTTCAACAAAGTGAGGGGGCTCCGCCAAAGGAGAAGTTGAAAGGTTCTGGGGTAAAAAAGAAGAGTAGGCATGATAGAAGAGGAAGCTGGTTCTACTCCTGTATCCTTAATCAGGTTCTCAAAGCAATATATGCATCTCCCAAGACGTTTGTGATTGCTTCCACTGAAAATACCACTTCTCCCTGACTGCGATGAGGTTTGCTAGTGGCTTCCAAAAACAGCTGCTGCTCACTGAAGGAAAATCAGCTGTTACCTAACCTTAGGCCTTTTATTCTTACAGATGGGGAGGCCAGGGCCCAGAGATTTACGACTTACCCAGCCTGTAAATTCTTACCTCTAGTATTTGCTTGTCATCTTGCTGTAACCAGAAATCCACATGTGGAAATGGTGTCCAGGAATATGGGCCTATTTGAAGTTGTTCAGTCTTTGCATCATAAATGCTAATCATCTAAAAGAGAATGACTGAAGGTAGAAGTCGGGAAGTTTACCTGCTCTCCCCTCCTGTGCACACTGGTGTAGAGGGCAAGGCATTTGTCTAGAAGATAAGCTGCTTAAAAACTGTCTCATAGTAACAAAGCTGCCACCTACTGAATAATTCCCTGTGTCTGGTCCTACACATTATGGGTGATATATACCACTGTGTTTAGTTCTGACAGCAGCCCTCTACGGGGACGACATTCTTTCCACTTGGGATAAAAAACCCTAACAAGTCCCACATGTAGTTGGCATTGGAGCTGGGCCTCCCACCCAGTGTGCCTAGTGTGGGAGCTCTGCACAAACACCACCTCACTACTGCACTGCTCATCCCGAGTAGCTAATCATCTTGGAAGTTTAAAATGGCCTGATTCCCCCATCAAAAGAAATAACAAACATTTTAAAGAGCTAATTTGGTAAATGGTCCATTTCCTGAATTCCCAAAATCTGCCAACAGTAATTTTCAGCTTTACCAACAATGTTCAATTTTGATGACTGAGGCTGAACTACCTTCTAAGTATTAAGTAAATTAGTGTGGTTATGCTATTTGAGGAATGGCAAAAGAAATCCTAAAAATGTCAGGTTTGACAAAACAAATCACTGATTCCAAACATTTTTCAATGAAAATGCCAGTGTTTCAACAAACAAGCACATTAGGGCCTCCCACCCCAGCCTTTGGTGTGGTGCTGTGGGTTAAAACTGACACTTTTTATTTTGAAACAGGGTTTCACTAATTTGCCCAGGGTGGGCTTGATCTCATGATCCTCCTGTTTCAGACTCTCAAGAGGGCTGGGGTTGTATGTCCATTCCATCATAACCAGCAAGAATTTTTGTGTGTGCCCATGTGCGCTACTGGGCATCACACTAAAGGCCTGACTCCTGCTAGCTAAGTGCTCCACCACTGGGCTATACTTTCTACTTGGAGTATTTCAAAAACATTCTTCCACCTATTCCTCAAAAGGGCCATGCATTGTTTTTCTTCTTCTTGTTGTTTTTTTTTTGTGGAACCGGGGATTGAACTCACGTCCTTGCGCTTGCCAGGGAAGCACTTAAAACACCTAGCCATCTCCCTGGCCCCAGTGCATTGTTTTTCTAAGCTTAAAAATACTTAAAAAGCACTCAGGGTGTAACTCAGTGGTAGAGCACTTATCCCAGCTTGTGCCACAAAAAACAAAAGGAAATTAGGACTTTAAAATTGATTTAGTCATTCTTTTTGGTTAATCAAATGATTTCAGCAAACTGCTTATCAGTGACTTGGTTTAAAAGAATTTAAGGATCACAAGTTTGAACTCAGCAAGGGCAACTTAGTAAGTCCCAGAAGTGAAAGGTATTCAGTCCTCAGTAGTAGGTAAAAAGTGGGGAAAGATAATAATCCCAAGTACAGAGGGGAGAAACTTCTCCCTTTTCTGCTGTCCTCTCTTTATAAAGATTACACAAAAGACAGTGTAAATATGCTCATTCTTTTTGGATCTAGACATGGTGGGTTCACACAACCTCTTGTGCCTTCTAGTTTGAAAACTGAAGTTTTGAACTTAAAACTTAAAATATTTCTTTACTCTGTTAACAGAGTGAGAAAGTATACTTGTGGCTGTGTCCCTGGTAATTTATAGCTTTAGAGGCAGATAAAATTTTCCATAAAGCTAGAGTAAAGCTCAAGGCTGGGGCAGTTCATCTGTTATTGCTGCTACCCCTTAACACAGAGTTCACACTTACTGGGCCTCCCACTAGAGCCCGGGCTGCACGCAGCTCCTCCTCTGGGCCTCGATCTTTAAAGGAAGCTCTGAAAATCTCTGCAGTTTTAACGTTGATAGCTGCAAGGGACAAGAGAATGATTTTAACTGACAAAAGACCACAGTGGAGACTCCACAGTCTGTGCCACCACAAAGAGCCAGACATTGAGAGAAAAAAATGGAAATGAACAAAATGACTCTGATGCATCTGTGCCTTCCCTTTCTGGAAAGGGAACAGGCAGCCTTGTCACCAGCAGTTTGATGACAGTAGCTGAGGCCTGAGCTGGTCCAGGGCAAACTCCCAAGCCCAGAGTTGCTTGCAGGTGTGAAGCTCGTTGTTCCACTGGCACATGCACCGCCTCCCTAGTCAACCCTGTGACCAAATCCATTTCTGTAGAGTGGAGGGAAGATGGGAGGCAAGGGTGGCCTATGGTGGTGGCAAAGCCCATCAGTTTTCAACTTGATGCAGTGGTTACCTTGGTTCACAAACTGAATTCTCACTATGATTCTGGTCACAAAATGAATGAGCTGAGCACTGAATCAAGTTTCTCTATCAGGTCAACATTCATTCCAACCACTGAATTTGATCTGGTTCTTGTCCAACTCAGTTTGCAACAAGAGTCGTGCAAAGAATCAAGTTTGTGAACCAAAGTACGTGAGAGAGAATAAAACATCAAGCACCTATGTACTCACCACATAGCTAAAACAAAATATCACAGATAGAAGCCCTGTGCAAATACAGCCCATTTCAAGCTACATCCTCAGGATCCTTGGTGCTGTGGTAGAGGGAGGAGGGTTTAGACTCTCTTTAGCGTTACAGTTGTATGTTTCACTTTGTATAACCTTTGTTCTCAATCAAAACCTTACCTCCCATGTGAAGAGTATACAAAGATTACATGATGTCTTAACACTCCTGCAAGAGCACTGCCTAGAGAACACACCTGTGCCTCCAAGAACAGGCCTGCTTGAGATCCTGCAAGTGTGGTGGACCCGGTGTGCTGTACACGTGGTACCTGTTTTCTTTCAGTCTTAAGTGATGAACATTACCACGGTTTCATACAGGTCAGAGTAGGCAAGCTACTTGCTCAGGTCCTCATACTAAATACACAGAAGTCAGGATCTGCACTCAAGGCTGTCACACACTGAGCTGTGAGATCATTACTTTGTCTAATCAGGCTTTCACTGAAGCCTGCCTTGCACTCTGCCACCAACCCTCCAACCATCAAGTAAACACATTACTTACCAATACCATAAATTATTGGAAAGTGGTTTTCATTTTCTTCCCGGTCATTTAACTCTGAGAAATTCAGAAAAAAACTTAATGTTACAGTTGTCAAAAAATACTAAATGATTTTTAATAATAAAGGCATGTTGCCTTTTTTTCCCAAGTAGGAAAAACAGAAAAGGAAAAGGATGATGTCCTGCAGAGTCCTGGGCAGGCAGGCTTTTGTGGAATGAGGCCACTCATAGAGCCTAGCCCGACTCTCTCCACATGCTGTGCCTCTGCCCCAAGACTGGGTAGCTCCCCTCTGCGATCACAGTAGTAAGACCCCAAGGAAAGATACTTAAGGGCAGGAGGTGCACCATCAGAACTGAGGCTGCACAGTCTCATACAGGCAAGGGCTGGAGGCTGTGCCAGCAACAGGAAGCATGGGAACAGAGCCAAGCAATGACAAGCTGTGTGCGACTCTGCAACTCAGGTCCTGGTGCTAGGCCCTGCCAGAATAGTGAGGGCAAAATGTCCCTGAACATACAGATTTGTTTTGGGAAATGGAAGAACTTACCAGTCACACATAATGTCACTAAGTGAATGTCCTCTTCCTGCTTATCAAATTCACCTATAATTAGAATTTTTAAACTGGATGTCAGAAAGTTCCTCTATTTGGAACTGCTGAGCAAGGACGCAAGAAGGGGCAGAATCCTCTGAGCATGCTGTTCCATCACTGAG